TGTCAACCAAGATATCAAGGTAGCAGTGGAAATGCAACTAGTTCCAAATGGTCTCATCTGGAGCTTACTGCTCAAAATGCAACCATTTTAGAACTTCTGAAATGTGTTTGATGTTTGTTTGTAGGCGTCTAGACAAAATGTACACTTGTATCTACACTGTCAATAGTCCTGTGTAGAATGAATCGGACACCTGGTTTCTAACAGCACTGAGATGTCAGAACGGAGGAATAAATAGGTCTACAACTGAGCTCATAAGTTGGAAATTCTGCATCACTGTCAAGTACTTTTTGTAAATTTAAAAAAAAATTATTTCTTGTGTTTGTGTTGGTGCATGAGTGTCTGTATATGTACCAAGTAACTGCATGTGTTTACAGAAGACCAGATGAGAGATTGCTTGGAGAACATAACGCTTTTAAGAATAAGTGGTTAAAGTATTTTATTCAATTTATTTTATTTTTTAATAATAATGGTAATAAAGGAATGACTCTTGCATATAGCAGAATAGTCAGTTAAAATATTGATGTGGGAGAATTATCTGTATTCTGTCAATCATGTATTTTAATAAAACGCTGATTGGCCAGGCAGGAAGTATAGGCGGGTCAACCAGACAGGAAGTAGAGGCGGGGTGATGAGAACAGGAAAAGGCTAGGAAGGAGGAAGCCCATTTCTCCATTCCTGCCCAGACCACAGAGAAGCAAGATGTAATTTGCCCCGCTGGAAAAGGTACTGAGCCACATGGCTAACACAGACAAGAATTATGGGTTACTGTAAGATGTAAGAATTAGTTAATAAGAAGACTGAGCTAATGGGCCAATCAGTTTATAACGTAATGCAGACTGTGTGATTTTCTTACCAGGAGGGACAGAAACTCCAACAAGCCGGCCCTTCATGTTACAAAATATGGACAAATTTAACTCAAAGGTCAGTTAATGTTTTATCTTTCAGAGAAAATAATGAAATGAGTCAAAAGTGGTAGGCTATTTCTTGATCAGAAAATAAAATTTAATATTTCATTGGGCAAATATTGATATTTTCTATACATTTGAATAATTGATTTCTTTAAAAGGAGACAAATTTTGAAAGTAAAAATAACTGTCAAGACTGGTTGTAAAAATCCTCATTTAGGCTGACACTTTATATTAACTATTAAAATTTCAAAACGTTGTTGATTATAATGTGCAGAAATCTTTTATTCATGTAAGTTAAGTATATGTGCTGGTTAGTTTTAACTGTGAGCTTGACACAATTTAGAATCAGATGAAAGAAAATCACCATGGAGGACTGAGCTCTGGGCATGTCCTTGGGCATTTTCTTGGTCTCCCAGCCCATTGTGAACAGCACCACTCCCTGGAGAGGAGATTATGGACTCTGCAACAATAAAGCCAGTTTAGTACTAAGTAAACAACCCAGCAAGCAGCCAGGCAGCCTAGGGGCACTAATACCCACCACACCCCACTCCCCCAGCTCTTGACTGTCACTTGCTGTGACAAGCTGCTTGATGGCCTGGCTTGGCTGCCCTGATGATTGTGGTGTGGCATTGTGAGGTAAAATAAGCCCTTTATTCCTCACACTGTTGTTGGTCCGAATATTTTTTCATACTAACAGAAATGAAGTTATGGCAGAATACAGCTAGACATTGTGACAGAAATGATTCAAATATATGTGGTTTGAATGAGACTGCACATGTATCTATTTGTGAGGGCGTGTTTTAAAAAGGAAAAGAGATGTTCAGCACTCTGGAAGCAGTCTTCAGGGAGGTGTCATAGAAAGAACAGAGTAAAATCCAGGAGGCAATGTCTTGGATCCTTAGTTTTTTCTGAGAACTACAGAGTGAAGGGCGGACAGCAGAGGAGCTCCTCTTTGGGCACTCTTTGAGCAAAGTGCTCATCCTAAAAACGGCAGCAATTGTCAGGAGAATGGTACTGCAGGAGTTACAATCGAAAGATTGGCAGAAGTTCAGTTTAATAAAAGTGGAACGGGGTGACCCACTTGTAGAGGTGAGAAGTCTTTCAAAAGGCCAGGCTACATTTCATTTCTTTTCCACCGAGACTTTTACAAGCAGCAGCAGAAGCCAAGAATGTTTAAAAATAAAGCAGAAAACAGCATTCTTGGTTTCTATTATAAAGGAAAAGGGCACAGGATAAAAATAGGGTTATGTCCTAACTTCACCAAATTACAGTCCTTTCTTAATATAATATTTTTTAGGGATAAACACCATTATGGCTAGACCCATTGTAAAAGGCTATTATTTCTTTCATTTTCTTAACAATACATGGACGTTTTAGGTATATGAATTTCACTGGGCAGTGTTTAAACATAGATTAGCTGATTTAAGTAGTTAATCATAATAATAATATTTATAAATGATTTCATCGTGTTGGCTCATTCTTTTTACTGGTTCACAGGCATTTAAAAGCAGTGACTAATTCAGTGGTTTTTTTTTTTGAGTTACTTTGAGACACATATAAAATAAATTGAAATAATCTTCCCTCTTATCTTTGTGCCGGAATTTTATCCACACATTAACATTTATGCTGTGCACAGTAATGCCTTAGTAGCCATAATTAACCTAATTTGTAAAAGTTAGCTGTTAAATATTGCTGAAACAAGGTTCAAAATAGTTTGACTCAGGTTCCTTATTTCGTGGCATTTAGCTATTTATTGTTATCAAAGATACGTTGACAATTGATGCTTGTGAACGCCCTCAGCCATATTATTTTTCCATGTATTAACTGTGACTTAAAAGGTTCAGTATCTCGGATAAAACTCTTTAAATAAATATATTAAATGTAATGTTTTATATTGAGACAGATATTTTGACCATCTTGGAACTTGTAATAATTTCATAATCCACTGCACATTTTCTCCTTCCCCATGGTTGAACCTAAGAATGAAATTAAATCAGCATTTCTAGTTATGTCTAGAGAATGGGTTGGATAGCTCCCTACACCTGCTCACCTGACTCTGGCCCCTCTTCTCTTATCAATGCAGGTATATATCTATTTGCTATGGCCACTCTGTTTTACTAAACTGTCTGCCTCAATTGTGTCTCAAATGGTTGCTATCTCATTTTCAAGATGTTTAGAATAAAGAATGCAACAAAGAAAACCTAGTATTTGTCAAATAAATAAATGAGGAAATGCAAATCTATGCTTTTTAAAATATCTGTGTGAGGTGCATATGTGTGTATGTACGGGCATGCAAGTTCATAAGTTGACACTGGATTTCCCTGTTGCTCCCCACCTTAGGTTTTGAGACAGTGTCTCTGGTTAAATCATGAGGTTACCTAGATGGGATAACCACTTAAAAGCCTGGGACCTGCCTGTCTCTGCCTTCCACAGCACTGGAGCTTCAGAAGTGAACCACAGTTCTCAGCTTTTATAGAGGTTCTGGGGTCCAAACCCAGGTCTCTACACGCTCTACTGACTACACCTCCTCCTGCAAACCTCCCTTTATGTTTCTCTTAGGAACAGATTATATTTTAAAACAACAAAATCAGATTTCTTTTTCCCCTTACGATTTTCAAACTTTTTGATTGTAGTCCACAGAAATAATGTGTACGTTTCCATGCATGACGCCCTACAACAATGATATTCATCAAGCAAGAGTGTCTTCAATGTACTTGACAGTGAACTTTCTTCTACTGTGTTTCATTTTACTCAGTTAAATAGTGTTGGTATGGAGTGAGCCACATCATCATCCACTTAGTGTCAGCTGGTAAAGTCATAGAACAGCATGCCTGTCCTATATCGTAGACTTTCAGGACTAGAAGGTCTCAACGAGCTGGGGACTTCTGATTCAGAGATGTCACTGGTAAACAGTTGAGGAAATATGCATGTTTCGATTTAGATTCAGCTACAAACTGCAATCACAGTCTAAATTATTTCATCTAATCCTCGACACAGTCACACAAACTAGGAAGTGCTACTTGCATGATGTGTGTAATAAAAAAGGAGGTTTTGGGGTCTGGTACTTTCTTGCTTCCCTTGGTTTTTGATCTTTACCCAAATACCACCCCTTCATTTCATGTATTGTATGTACATATTTGAAACAGAAAGCAAGTGATAGTCTCAGGTTTTTGTTTTGTTTTATGTTACGTAAGGTCTCCATTTAGCCCAGGCTGGTCTTGAAATGGAGTTCACTGTCCAGTTTAGGATGGCCTTTAACTCCTGATCCCCTTGCCCATGCACTGAGATAACAGGCATGCACTTGACTAATTTATTTTTGCATTCGTTCATTTTCTGTTGTTGTTTGAGACAAAGTCCCACCATGTAGCCCTAGTTGACCTGAAAAGGGGTTGTGTGGAGCAGTAGGCTGACATCCAGTTGCTGGAAGTCCCTTCTGCCTCAGGGTCTGCAAACACCTGCTTCTTGCCTTGAATCTTATTTAACTTAACTGGATGGTGTTCGTTACTGCACCTACCTAGGATAGATTACAAATACATCCATGTGTCTAGCAAAGCTGTCTGGCCTCCCCTGTGAATCAACTCAGGTCTTACTGACTGGAGTTCAAGGCAAGCTCAGCATGGGCTTCTTTGTGATGGCATTTCCTATTGAGAAGCTTCCACATAGTAGATTGAATTGAGTTCTAGTACAATAAACCCTTCCATTTCAGCCCTACGCCGCCCCAGACTCCACCATCACTAAGACCCAACACCTTAGCTGTCTGGCAGGAGGTCTTAGCACTCACCTCCAGAGAAGTTCTATCTACCTCAAACTACTCCTGACCTCCCCCCCCAAACAACAACAACAACAACAAAAAACAAAAACAAACAAACAAACAAAAACAAACAAACAAAAAACCCGGGAGATGGGAAGGGTCTGGCCGACCTTCAAACTGGGCATGCTCAGTGGCAGAACTGCTTTGGTCGGTACTTCTAGCCAAGATTGGTTGGTATCCCTGTTCACAACTCCACTGCAGAGCAATTCCACAGCATCCGCTCCCTAGGAGGGCCAGAAGCAGCTCCTCCCACCCCCAGCAGCCTGTGCTGCAGCAACCAGCCACCGGAGGGGGGCGAACCCACGTCAACCTGTTGTTTGTCCGGTCCCCATTGATCTAGCCAGCGCCACAAGGAAGTGCGGCACCCACACGCTCTTGGAAAGTTCAGCATGCAGGAAGTTTGGGAAGAGCGGGGCTGGTAGCTGGACGACCCGGCAGCGCAGGGCAGAGCAGTCAGCAAAGGCGCGGAGCGGCGCAGCAGAGGTCCACCGGCCCAATCCGGTGGGCTTTATTTATTTATATATTCATTTCTGGAGCAACGCTGTCCCTAGGTCGCTGATCCCAAATGCACCGATTCATTTTCATCTCTATTCTTGTGTGCGCGAACTTTTGCAGCTATCGGGACACTTTTGCGACTCCGCAGAGCGCATCCATCAAAACTTTGCGCAATGCCAACCGGAGGAGAGACGGTAAGAGACTCACTCTGTGTTCTTTATTGACAAGGTCACATTTGCTATTGTCCGGGTTCTTTGGTCCATTCTCCCCACCCCCAGCCCCTCCGTTTCTGAAAATTTCAAATGAACTCAGACGGAAGGCATTGTTTGGGGGAGGGAGACTCCTGCTTCGCCCCCAGCTGAGGTAGCTCTTCCTTCCAGAACTGTAATAGAGTGTGCAATGTGCTGGGGGCAATATGATGGGTCAAGTGGGTTTCACCCCTGCACCTTGGAAGTCACATGGGTAGGTGTGTGTCATGGAATAGGTCATACCAGGATGTGGGTGCCTCCTTCAGTGTTGAAAAGCTGCATGCGGTGCCCACTTTTGGCCAGGCTAATCTGGCAGTAGTAAAGACTGCATTGTGGTAGGTGGTGGAGTCCAGTGGCCTTTACCAGATGACATAATTCTTATTTATTTATTTTAGGGATGAGAGTAGAAATGACACGTTTCAGCATTTTGCTTATTTCTGCAGCAAACCGGCAATTTATTTGTCATTTACTCTTAAGAGAAGTCAGTGTTGCCCCTTCTATCCCTCAAGTGACTTTCCCTTGGAGTTCAGAGAAGCTGGGAAACTGGAGTCTGGGAGGCACAGTTGCTGGAATTTCCTTGTACCGCAGGGGACCTGGCTTCTATTGTTGGTTTCTCTCCTGCTGAGGCTTTTCAAGCTCCTGAAATGGCTGTCCTAAGCAAGGTTCTGAGCAGACATTCTTGTTTCCCTGCCTCTGGAGGACACATGGGTCACTAGGTCTCTGAGACTCCAAGTTGAGCTGTTGAAGCTGGGACTTACTTAGGTCCTCAGCTGAAGCTTATGGTCCTACTGGCATGTGGATGGAATGACCCAAAGTTTCATTGCTTTTGTTTTCCTACATGAATCGAATCTCATTCTCTTTTACTTGCTTGAAGTTCCCACAACCACCATTTTCTTCCATATCGCCATCTTGCCCCCAAACACCAAAAACATCACCAAGATGTTCTTAGTGGCTTCAGTGTTTCAGCTGGCAACATGATCATCTTGGTAAATTCATAATAGACACCTTCATCACTTATGAAAGTTTTACATGATATGTTCTAAATTCAAACTTCCCCGAAAGACAGGTAGACTTACTGGCAGCGTCTTTAAGTTATCTGAAGTGTTAAGGTATATGGCCCCAGAACTCACAATTCTCTACCGGATAGCAGTGTTTTATGTAAACTATTTTAACAATTTATTTTGATGACCTTCAACTTACATTTTGCTTTCAACTGTAAAGCCAAGAAGCCTGAGTCAGTGCAGCTCCAGAGTTCACACTGCTGGGTGGTATCACAGGATGGATAGATCTTCTTCGCGATTTCAATTTTGCTAATACTTCTTTGTTCACCTTCTGGTCTTCTTAGAGTTAAGCGTCATGTGGATGCATGACTTCATAGTCATAATTTTGTAATCCTCCAAAGTATCAGTTTCAAGAAGTCAGGGACAGAAAATGAAAAGCATGCAACCACTGCTTATTAACCCGAGATTCTGACCCAAATCTATTCAGACAGCTTAGGGGATTTTTTTTTCTACCCACTTCTTATGTTGAAGAACACACTCTCATGTTAATTTTCTTTATTAGAACTCTATATACATGAGAACTCTTGTCTACATAGGAACATCTCAAAATGCTAATGATTTCTCTAGATTCCTTTATAGTTTAGCTAAAACTATTTCACAGCAATTCCAACACCACACACACAGAGACACACACACACAAGATTGCTTAGTATTTTTCTCTTTAATAACCTTACTTTTAAAAAGGACTGGAAAGTGGGAAAAGTCCAGACACACTTAATGAAGAAAATACTAACATTCATACTACATAATGGGTTGTTAGTTTCTGGGAAACAATAGCTTGAAGAGGTGAGATGGAATAGTGATGGTTGAAACTTGAAAAATTAGGTATTACAGTAGTGTGTGTTCTTCTGAAGACCCATTATCTATGAACAGATGATTTAGCATATCTGCAATATTAAAATACTACAGGACAGGACGGTGATCAGAAGGAAAAAGTCTAAAGATGTTCTTTGAAGTGATCTTGGTGATAATGGAAAACAAATGGTTGTGTGGCAGTCAGAAAGTTTGGTGGAGACAACCTCTGTACATTTTTTTTCAAGCCCTGATTGGCTCCCTTCTGTTGGGGTCAAGAAAGGAACCATAAGGGGAGAGGCAGGTGTCACATAGAAATGGCTTCCAGTGGTGTGTTGGAGTCGTCACAGGCTGACTCAAAGAGTCTTTGGAGAAGTCTAAATATCACTGAAATTTCTAAGACAGATCGGGGAGAAATCCTTGCTCAGGGTCTGTACATCATGAGCTTGCTTTTCTGCATCTTTCCCCATGACTTGTTAAGGAGGATGGTATCTTGGTGTTTTGATTCTCAGATGAAGAGAGCACAGACATCTGAGACATACATGAGAAATATGTTCAGGAGAAAGACAGAAAACAAAATCCAATGAACACTAATGTGCAGTACATAGAAGATGTGGTGTCAATAGCCACTGAAAATCCTGAATGGAGTGGGTAGGTGTGTGGAAGCCATTATCTGAAGGTAAAACTTCATTCACACTTGAATACCATGTTTTTGCTCTTTGAAATTGTTGGTTGCTGCCCAATTTTGGGGTTTAGAAAGGAATTACAAGGGATGAAGGCAGACATCCCATGAAAAGGGTGTGAGATGAGGATTTTTGTTATTTCCATCCTAACACAAAAAGCATGGGCCTAATCAACTGTGTCTAATAGCATATAATGAGGAAGTTACTGAAATGGTGTAGAGAAACTAGAGTTGAAGATGATGGGCTCCTTTTATAAGGTGATTGATCTTCTAGAAGGTTCTATTGTAGAGCAAGACGTCCAGATCCTTTCGTTCAGAGTAACTAAAGGTGGCCATTGGAGGAAGGTGGCAGATTTGATCCAAATGAGATTTTATACCTAAGGAAGAATGCATTACAGTTATTTTAAATACTTAATTCAGTGTTTATACTTCCTTATATCATACTATTAGTGACTCTTGCTCAAACTGATTTACTCTAATGCTATTTCTAAACCTAGAAAATTTTCTAATTTAGGAGCCACACCTTATTTTAGTGTCCATCGGTTGATGCCTTTGTGATAATGACTGTTCATACCACACGATGCTCTGACTGATACCACGAAAGAAAATAGTCACAGTTAAATGACATTATTAATTACACTAACACCTACCTAGATAGTACTTCCTGCCTAGAGACTTAAGAATAAAAATCCCTTTTCAAGATTTGACCTTTTGTTATTTTCTGAAAGTACAAATGTTGCTGGTAAGCAACAATTCTAGATTGTCCCGATTGGCTAATGTACCAGTAATGGAGCTATCTCCAACTTTATTTATCACTTGCTAGGCTGAGCACTATAGGATATGGACTGTGCTGTTTTGGATTCTACAGCAGCAAGCGTGAGCCTCAAGCAGTGTGACTTTCTGGAGGCACACAGATCTTGGTTAGAGATCAGAGATGAAAAGGGATATCAACAAAACAGAAAGATATAAACTGACTCATGTGGAAGTATCTGAAAGCTAAGGACCACTGGAGTGTCTAAATTTTGCATTCATTTGTTTCTATATTTTCTGTTCAGTTCTAAGATTATTGAAGATTCAAATCTCATAATGCATATCTGTGTCTACCTGTCTTAAATGCAGCTTAGCTTTGCCATTAACTATTCTTTAAAAGGAGGATACAGGGCTTGAGAGATTTAGTGGGTGAAGAAACTCAAGTTGGAGTCCTCAGAACCCACTTTGATATGCAGGTCTGCTCTCCCAGTACCTCTGCAAGGAGATAGCAGCAAGATGAGGAGAATCTCCAGACATTTGTGGGCAGCAACCCTGGTCCATGCAGAAGGGGCTGGGTTCTGTCTTTATATCAAAGGAGAAGGCAAGGGCCAAGGTTGTACGATGGGAGAATCAAATATCAAGGTTGTTCTATGACCTCCACATTATCGCAGTGGCATATATGCCAAAAATTCTTATGAATGAACATAAACAACAACAATAACAGCACCACACACACATGCATACACAGACACACACACTAAGGTGTATGAAAAGAAGTTCCTGCAAAAAAAAAGTCCCACCTCCAACTGAAACTTTCCTAAGGCTGGTTAACTGATTAGAACTCTAATGGTTGTGAAGTCAGAACGTTGCAAGTCCAGAGCCATAATTAGCCATGTTAATAGTCATTTACTGCTTTGCTTTGTACCTGGCCTAAGTCTTTGTAAGCATTAGGCAAATCATTTAGAATTTACAGAGGCCTCCACCACAAATCAAAAGGCTAAGTGTCATCCAATTGCATCAATTGCTTTGGAGTACTGTGGAAGAGGTGCCTCTGCTTTGATCCCCCACTTGCCTTACACCAGTGGTTTTAAAAAAATGTCCTCATTCCTGATCTTCTTTATTCTGTTATTATGAAAACCTCATGAAACTGCTTCCATGCTGGAGTGAGGAATTTGGGATGACATAAATACTGTTTTTTTGGCCATAGTGATTTGGCTTCAGAATATATTCTTTCTTAGCTCCTTCAAGTGAGAGTTGTATTTTTAGGGGGTGGACAGGTGCCTGGCTGCGTTGCATTGTAGTGTCCTGAGATGTATACATTGTAGGGATCACGCCGAGGTTCCTGCGTGCTATGAATTGTAAAGTATGCTGGGGTGTCTGGTTGCTGTCCATTGTAAGGTGTCCTGGAGTGTGTGGTTGTTGTGCATTGTAGGGTGTCCTGAGTTGCCTGCATGCCATGCATTGTAGGGTGACCTGAGGTGCCTGCATGCCATGCAATGTAGGGTGTCCTGGGGTGCCTGCCTGCTGTACAGCAGAGATTGCCTTGAGCTAGGTTGTGAGCTGAATTGACTGAAAGTGATTTTTATCTGAAGGAGTTTTTTCCTTTCAGTGACTAAAAATAAAACCAGATTGCTTCAGAATAGTTAGGCCAAACATGGAGC